GGGCAGAGCCTTGAGTGGCATGTTTTAGTGTGAGGTGTCCCTGTCCATGGCAGGGGGGTTGGAACTAAACAATCTTAAGGTCCTTTCCAACCCTAACTATTCTATGGTTCTATGATTCTAAGTTGACAATGCTAAATTGTAGTACAGAAGAAATATTTCTATTTGCTGGTTAGCCTGTCATCAGAATCTGGTTTCCTGATTCAGTATGGAATTTTGCATTAAAAAAGCAAGAGTATTAGGCGTTTGGGTTTTAAAAATGTAAACAGATTTGCTTGTTTGCTCAAACATGATGATACAAGTGTAAAAATGCTTTTTATACTTTTTCCTAAAGAATGTCCTTTCTAGTTTCTTCCGGAGAAGCAGGATGATGTAATCACAGTTGTAGTTATAAGGACAGGAACTACTAATGCTAAAACACACTTGATGCTCAATGCTAACTATCTTCCTGGAAGGAGGAAATAATTTTCTGATGTGTGTTATTTTGGAGGTATTACTGCTGAAGGATTTACTTAAACATCAGCCCTTTTGGGATTACTGCAGGGGGGAGAAATCAAATTCCACATCCCTTCAAGGCTGGCTTCTGTCATATAATGGTTCAGAGCTGTTCTGCTCCCTTGCTTGTTAAAAGCATTCTCTTCTGGTGAATAGCTAGAAAAAAAAAAGCATTTTGAGTTAACATTTAAAAACAAATTCATCTTGGCCAGGAGGAAATGTAATTGCTAAAAAATTAATGTTAAGATTTTCCAGCTGACAAAAAAGCAGCTGTTTAGTAGTGAGAGATCTTGAAAACACCACAATAGGCACTAAACAATAAATTCACTATGGAGTTTTTCAAAGCACTCTTCAATATATGTGCATTATGTGTATCTAGACTACATACTAACTTCACCCTTGGGTTGCTGAACATAATCCAGTTAGAGAAGCCAGCCATGTGATGTATTTTTTACAATATGGCTATCCAGTGAATAGTTCAATAGATAATTGACCACCTAGCCATGGGCTATGGCAGGGTCATACGAGAAGAAAAGATTATCTACCCTTTCTGGGTTCAGAAAGTAAGAATCATTGAGAAGCATATGTTGGGCAGGATTCCATCACTGTATTCTGTGAAGTTTAGCAAAATAGCATGAATAGGTCATGGAAAAGCAATGGGGTTTAGGCCTTCTGTTCTAGCTGCCCCTTCCTTTTCGGTTGTTACTACTGCTTCTCTTGGATCCTCTGTTCATGATTATCTCACAGTAGTCCTTCAAGCCTCTGTGATTGCAAATTACTGCTTGGACACCTGACTTGGCCCTGAATTTAACTTGGATTTCTGAATTTTCAAATTTGCAGTTCTGGGAGCAAAATTTGGAAAAGGAACAGTTAAATACTGCTTGCCCTTTCATGTGTAAACTCCACAGGACATGGCTGTATGAAAGGCCTTGCACACGATACGAGTTCTGGCTTGTAGACAGCCAAAAACATCACCCAACCTGTAAAAGCTCACCAAAATGCTTTGGAAACTATAGCTGTACGTCACAGCAGAAGCTGCTACAGTACGGATGTGCTGCACAAATCAGCAGTTGATGCAGCTTCAGGTGATGACAGGTAGCAAACCCAAGAAGCGATGTACTCTCAACCATCTGCCCAACTAAAAACAGCAGCTGTTCCAGCTGAGTGATTCCTCCCAGGCACTTCCTCCCAGGCCAGTGCCACCGACCTGCACGCTGCTCAGCACAGACACAAAACCCTGCTCAGACAGCCTGCAGAAATGGATGTAACCACAGAAAGATGGTGGAGCATCTCAGTACATAATTGGGCTGAGACAAACAGCTAAAATTCAAGTGAAGAAAACAATCTCGGTTATTATGCGGTGTATAGTTTTTTGTTGGAGAGACTGGGTTGTAACACACAGAAGACTAGTGCTGTAAATGAAAAACAAAGTTTCTGTGGTTTATGTACATTTTTACCACATTAGTTTTCACTCATTCCCACTCTTCATGAGTCAATTTGAGATGGTATAGTATGCTGCAAAGCTTAAAAACAATCTTTTTCTTTGGCAACTAGTACTTCACGAATCAGCCATCTGCTGCCATTATATCTATCTAGTTCTAGCAATACTAATAATTTCCTACAGTGAATAAAGGTTGAAGATGAAATAATAGAATTTTCCAAAGTAAATTTTATTCTTTAGTACTGAAGACTAAAACCTGTTGGTTTATGGAAACTGTCAGGTATGTTCAAGAGAAATCATTTAAAGTTGTTTTAATGAGGAATTGGTTAAGCTGTAGAAAGTTTCACTTGTGTCTCATTACATCATCTTAAGTTTCAGGAGTGAAACAATGATTTTAGACTTACTAAACAAAATTCTGTTTTGCAATGCTGAGATTTCTTTCCCCTCGTGAGTGCAGCGTGATCCGTGCGTCTCTGTTTCCAAGAGTCAGACTGGTAGTTTGTTGCCTGTTACCAAATTCTCTAAAGCACCTAAAAGAATTACCTTCTTCCTGGTTCTTCACAGCTGCAAGCCCACAGCTCCCACCAGCTCCTGCAGGATATCGGTTCCTTCCAGCTGCCCCTAGGTAGTACTGATGCCTGAGGAGCAGCTCTGGAGAAATCAATCTTGCTCCAGTTTGTTTTTCAGGGTCTGTAGGGTTCCTGTATCATGATACAGCAAAGCCTACTTAATTAGCTCCTCTTTTTGGCTATTTGCTACTGATCCTCTGCAGCAGACTGATCTTTTGGCTCCTATATATGCTCAGAAGTGTTCTGTGGAATCCGAGGGAGCAACATGCTGAACTTATTCTAAGCTTCATTGCAGTTTGGAGTAGGAGCATCTCCCTCCAGAAATCCCAAGGGACAGTTTTCCTGTCCTGGGAATGTGTGCTCAACCTCGCTCCTTTCTGCTGGCAGTTTCAGCACAAGGCACAGCAGCTGATGGCTCCTCAAGCATGGAGGCATTCCCATTTGCACACCTTTCACACTGACCGGTGGATGTTGTGCTTGCTCAGGAACTGCAGAGCTGTATTGTACATGGTCTTCAGCCCAAGAAATAGGTACCCCTTGTGCCTGAGTGTGGAGAGGTGACCTAGCCCTCAGATTGTGAGGGTTACAGGGGACAGGGCAAGGATCCCACCCAGCTGTAGAGAAGGAGCTGGTTCGTAGCCCAGAGTAGAAGATTTGGAGCCAGAAGAGCAGCAGGCAGGAGGGAGCCAGGCTGATAACCCAGGGCTGGAGTGTTCATCTGAAAGTCAAAGATCCTTATTTCCATTCCTGGATTTTTATTCACTTTCTGCTTCTGCGAGTTTCTGCTTAATATAAAATGTGCATTTAAAGCATCCTGGAAGTGTTTGATGTGGGGCATGTACTCCAAAGTTCCTAGGCTTGGGGAGCGATTTTCACTGCCTGTAGGGCAGCACCTCTGCAGGGCTTTCAGAGGTGCTCTCCTGTCCTTGTCTGTAGGAGAAGTGTAGGTGCCTGGGTAATGCCTTCTGGCTTTCCCCCACTTGATCTGTTTTGGGTGTCTGCTTTGGGGAAAGATGCATCATATGCAGGAGTGGCTGCTTTTCGCCACTGAGCATGAAGAGAGCCTATAGACGTTGAGAAGTAGGTGAGATGACTCTCATCCTGCCACTTGCTTTTTAGAATGGGGGCCTGAAGTATATGGCCTTGATTTGCATTAATTGCCAATTCAGTTTCTTCTGGTTTTAGATGAACTATGGCATCACAGTTTGCCACACCATCTTTCTTGTCTGTACTGGAACCCCAGCATAGTTACATGCTCTTGGTGGAGCTGGCAGCCAGCAGCCACCTCTGTCTGAGGAGATTCTACAGCCGGACAGAATAATGGTATTAAAGACTTCACTGTAAATAGTGTATTATCACAAATGTTTTGAAACTAGCTCGCCAATGTTACTTAAATGGGAAGCTCATTGAGTGGTGGCTTTGATCTTGTTACTTATTTTAGGTCTTATGCTTTGAAACTTAGCTTGATTGTGCATTATGTGGAAATCAAAGTCTGAATAGTCCTTTAAGTTGGGGATTTCAAAAACATGTGGAGAATAAAGCTTGCATCCCTCAGTGGCTCTGACACTTCCGGAATGCAGAAAATAAAGACTTAATCCATATCTGGCTAAAATTACTTTAGCTATGAGGGTTTTTTGGGTGGTGGTGTTTGTATTGGTGTGCATATTAACTGAAACTTTGCCATTGTTCGTGTTCAGTCTGGGATCTGGAAGTGAAGTTGTTTTCTCACACACTTCTGTGTCTTCACTGTGAATGAAGAGCCTGTGACAGAATTCAGTCTCACGTGAATGATATAAAAACCCAAACAGCCTGTTTGAAAAGGCAAGGGAAATCCAGTGCTTAAAAACCAGAAAGTGTTTAAAAATCAGTTATTTTTAAAGATGGCTGCTGTAACTCAGGGACAGAACACTACAAAGATAAGTATGAAAATCAAGCTCTTACTATTGCTCTTTTACCTGTGATTGCATACAACCTGTGGCAACAGGTGCCACAGGGACTTTTAGCTAATCTTCGTAGGTTTTGTGCCCCAGAATTTGGGGCTGAGTGTTCAAGAAGAAATCACTTCAACCTTGTGCTTTGCCAAAAGCAAGGTTCTTTGCTGGGATGGGTATGCATTCTTACTGCTTTAGGAGTGGTTTGTGTGCCTACGTTTGCTTTCTTCCCAGGCTGCGGTCATATTTTTTGGGGTACTGACATCGGGAAACTCGTCACCAACAAAGTAAACCTGAGAAAAAGTTTCAGTCACAGAAAGCTCACGATATCCCTTCTGTCCTTACCCACAGACTATCACTACCTTTTGTCATGGAATGCTTACTGTGTTGCCAAGAACAAGGCAAAAATCTTGGCTTGAGCAATGCAGTGTGAAAGGAAGTGATAGCTTCTTGTATCAAATTCTGCTAACAGCAAGAAGTCAGTGACTTGGTCTGTGGGTTTGCTACTTCAGTGCCCAGTTTTGTGTTTTGGGTCACTAATTCAGATGGAAACGTTCGTTTTTACAGATGGAGTTAGCGGTGGCACCGCTCTGTCGGCGAGTCTCTGACCTAGGAAAGTCCTACAGACAGCTGAGGTCATTCAGGTGAGTTGCAGTCTCAGGAGCCAGCAGTTGTCAGTATGATCAAAATGTATTTCCAAACTGATTTATTATCTCATGCTAATTCTGATTGAACAGAGCTTTTTTGGGATCACCCACCTGCAAATTAGAAATAGATTAAAGTTCTTTGTAATTCTATGCAGAGTATAACTATGATTTAACAGTCTTTGTCATGCAAATGTTGGCCAAATTGTACTTTTTTGTATTGCTTTCAGTACAACCCCTGCATGACAGTGAGTTCTGAAGCGACCTGAAGTGTTTGCACTGAAATGTAAAATTTACAGTCCTGGGTTGTTTAATTACAATAGACAACTTTGTACATTTTTGCAAACGGAACCTGTGTTGAAGACCTGGGATGCAGACTGGTAGACAAATATTTGATGATCCTGTTCTAACACAATATTGCCACCACATAGGTATTTTTCTAATGCGTCAGACAAGCTTTTTCTTCCTTTCACAAGTATATTTTTACACTTTTCCAGACCACTGCTGTTCCAGACCAGTGAGCACATTGCCAGTAGCCCAGCTTTGGGAGAGGTTATTCCATTCAGCATCATTCTTCAGTTTTTATTTACAAGAGCACCAGCAGAGTTAAAATCACCCTTCCAGGTAATAAGATCAACTTCTCTTTCCTTTCGAGATGTCCTAAGGAGGAATGAACATTGTAATTCATCCTAGATATTTTAGTTGAAAAGTGTTGAAGCTCATCCTTTATATGATTTATTGGCTTTTGCTTTTATTGTGGCAAAGGTGTTCTGGCCATTGGCTTCATATTTTAATTAATTAACAGTAGGAAGACGGCAACCTGATTTTAAAAAGACTCTCAATTCTTTGATGTTCTGTCAGCTCATGGAAGAAATTGCAGGTCTTACCCGCGACTGCACATTGCCTGGATCCTGGTCAAGTCAGATGCAGGAAAACTAGATAGAAACCCCTGTCAGAATTGGGCAAACAGCTGATGTGGGAGGACACCTCTGAGCTTCTGTGTAACATACTGGGCTATTTCTGTTAATTGTCCCTGATTCTCTAACTCATTCTGCATCACTACAGTATTAAGCAAGCCTTATGTGGCTTCATTTATATTATCTTGGATCTGAAACTTTTAGGTGTGTTTGCTTTTTCACCTTCATGTGTAATTGGTGTTTGTTTCTCTGTATTAGAGGGCTGAGTGGTCCATTGCCCGCTACTCCCAGTGGCTTGATGATCATCCATCTGAAAAAGACAGGCTTGCTCTCATACGGTAAAAATCATTCTTCTTTCTTCTCTACGTTTATGATAATGGAGCAGTAACTTATCTGCATACCAGCACTGGTCTCGAAAGGTAAAAACCATGTGTTACAGGAGATGTGTTAAATACCATTGCCCTCTCTCCACTCGTGGGATGAGTTGTAAAGTGGCAAAATATATTAACTGAGCACTCCCTTCCACCCACCATGCCCAAGACCTCCAGTGCCTTTGGAAGCAACACGTAATCCTCTTGCAAAAGAATGAAACCATGCACCATGGTGGTTTAAATTAATACCATGTTTCAGTAAAACTGCCTCTCAACTGTTGGAAAGTCAAGGCTGCAGCCATTCAGTCCTCTGCGTCAGGAAAGAGGAGCTTTGGAAGTTTAAGCAATGAGAATGTAGGTAGGAATTTAAAAATGGAAGACCCTTGCTACACTCCTGTAACGTCGTTCTTCAGAAAACTAGCACAGGATCTTTAGGAAGTGATAATGATGTCAGATTTTTAAGATCTTCCTGAGGTAGCAGCTAAATACTGTTTTGCATCTTAAAATGTTAGCAAAAGTTATGAAGAGTCTTGTTTTTCGAAACAAGCAGATTTCTAATGTTAGAGAGAACAGATGTGCGGTATGAACGTGACAGAGCCAGTCTGAGGATCCTCAGGATTCAAGGTGATCATTTGGCTCTTAATGCCCTAGCTCTTCCAGCCATCTTCTCAGTGTCCTGTCTGACATCAGAGCCACCCACTCCAGTTTTCACACATCTGCACCAGGCTTGATCTGGCCTGGGAGCCAGCTCTGTCCTTGAACTTCATGTGGATGTTGCCAGCTTTTGCTGAAATCATAAAAGCTGACTTTTCAGTTCCAGCCAGCAGTGGCTGTACTTGAGAAAATCAGCCATTATCTGTCCACACTTCAAAAGCAGCCAAGAGGAGTCTGCTATACATATTTACAGTTCTTAAAGCTGGCAGCACCATACAGTCCAGTGTAGGGCCTGGGTCAGTTAGGGAAATAACTGGTCGATCACCAGTAGGTGTTAGTAGGATCTATTTCCAAACTATTAAAATGCAAACTGTCTCTTAGTGTGTATTAACAGGGTACTTTTTGAAAATCACACATGCTGTTAGTCTGGTTTGGCTGCAGAACTAAGTTTTCTTGAGTCTTGATCCATGACACCTTGAACTACAAGGGCTGACACAGCTGTATATGTAACTTAGTTATGAATATTTTGGTTGTGATTTGTGTCCTGATAGTACTGGCAAAACTGACAATGTTGAACTTCAGATATGTTAGAGAGAGCCAAGAATGCAAATCGTTTGAGAGCTGATGGGATTTTGTTCTCTTCAGTCCTTTTACACAGATTTGAAAATGCCATCCTTAAACTACAACATTTTTGTCTTTGTTTGCAATTAAATTTCATTCAGACTGATTCAGCTAATGGGCTTGCTGGTGGTAATGTTCAGACACTGATAAATTGCTCTGACCACGAACGTATTATGGGACAAGCCCTGGGACAAAGCTTTTATGCAGAGAGAGTGTCATCCATTAGACCAGGTAGTGTAAGCTGGAATATTTAAGGTTTTCATTTCAGTCCTTTAATTGAATCCATTATTCATTTTGCATGAGATACCACTATTAAAATATTTCAACTTTGTAATCTCAAGAATATGCTGCTGCAGGGTAATCACTGGGCAAGGTTATCACCTGAGCGGTTTACAGTAAGACTGTTGCTTTGCACTGTGGAGTGCTCGGACATCCAGGGCATGGAGAGGGCAGCTTTGAAGATCTCTTCCCAGAGGCCTCTGTTGGGACTCCAGTGGCTCTCCCCTACCCTTGATACTCCAGAGCAAGGCTGTTTGTCACTGCCCATGTTTGTTTACTTCTCCATCCATCCCCATGTCCACCGCTCGTAGGCACCACTCATGCAGCTTTGCTGAGCTGGATGAACCACTCTGGATTTGTTAAGCAGACTCTTCCCTCGGGTGGTTCAGTTGGCAGCTTGTTTAGAGCTGCATGCTTGGAGCAAAGAGCAGGGACTAGCTGAGCAGCACCTAATGCAGTGAGTGAAGGGGGTGGTAGCTTGGCAGACATGGGTAATCTCTGCAGGCGTTGCTCCATTGCTCTGTGCATTCACCTTTTTACCATCTCCTCTCATGCTTGTTGGTCCTTTCTAAATAGGCTCAGTTATCCGTACAGAAGGCAAGCAAGCAAACATCACAAGCATGACCATGTTTCATTCATTATTTCTTTAATACTCTATTGGGTGATTTCTGAGCCTGCTTTTCATGTGTCTCATGAGCCTCAGTTGAACTACAGGCATCTTGCTCATTTGTCTGGAGCCTTTTATCAGTCACCCTCTTCAAGCTTTTTCTGCCTGCAGTTGTTCAGCTGTGCTAATTGAGCCTTGGATGTTGTGAGCCGTCAGATCCCTGCACTGGCCTGCATCTTTACATTGGCTGCAACCTTGCAAATGGTTATTTTCTGCAACTTCCCTCTTTAACAACTGTGCAATTACTCTGGGGACCTGCTGCTTAGATATTAATTTACTTGTGTTATCAGAATCCTTGCAGCTTCATATTAAAGCTTCTTCTGCTCTGTAACCTCAAATGCTTCATATGCAATGTGGTGTTAATGTTATGAATTAGTAGCATTCTGAGCATTTTTGTGTATTCCTTTCTGCTTGTATTCAGCATGAAGGATGGGATTTATCTGGCCAGGGGTATATTAGCCAGACTTCCTTTATAGTCAACAGAGAGTAACAGGCACTGCTGGGGCTGATTCATCTCATCCTGAACTAGGTACCTAAAATAGGTCAGTTGCATTGTGTCCTGAAAGCTCCATTTTCTCTGCTCAGTGAAGGGAGCGTGCGCGGGGACACGGGAGCTCTCTCAGGCAGACAGCAGCCCTGCAGACATTTGGAGTTGGGTGTGATGACCCTGCGGGGTTGTGTTGAAAGGAGCGTTTCTTTAAGTGGCCAGGGCACGTTGTTTTCTTTCTAAATTAAGTTTGAAAACTCAGCCTTCTTTCCGTAGAGGAAACCCTGATGGATGTGGCAGGATTTGATCCAGCAATGAAAGGATTGAATGACAGTTCGTCTGCACAAGGGCCAAATCTTGTCTTTACCATTGGTGTGTGGGTGAGCTCCCTTTAGTCAAGCTCACTGTTGCTGGAGCGGAGTTGAAATCTAGGCTTAGTGAGGGTTCATTTTCATAACGAGCTGATGACCTGAGCCAGAGCACGGCTCTGGCCGCTGACCTGCCAGGGGCAGGGACAAACGCCAGCGTGGAACCACCATGAAGCCCCATGTGCGCGCCGGGTTCAGCCTCGCAGCAGCCTTGCCCCGAGCAGCAGAGCCGTGCTGGGTCACTGCTCCACTCTGCTAAGCCAAGCGAGCAGCAGCCACAGCGTGGCCAGGGGCTGCCCTGGAGCATGGCTGCGGTGCCTGCGAGCGCTCCCACCAGCGTTAGCCATTCATAGGAACCCTCGTGTAACCCCCATGTCTGTCAACGCATGGCTCCTTTGATGTCTCTATCCTGCATAAACTGGAGCTGGTGCTTGCTGATCTGTGGTCCTACAGGTGGTGCTGTTGGAGATTTCACAATAACTTTAATAGCAGTTAACAGACCTGGTGTCAGAGCGAATCACAGGATCGTAGAATAGCAGATTGCAAGGGACAGATGTGCTCTTACGCGGCTTATTTTCCATTTTCCTCTTTGCCCTGAAGTGTGCAGAGCAAGCAGACTTTTTTAACAAAGTGCTAAAGAGAAGCCTGGCCCTGCCTTCCTCTGGTTTCCCTGCTGATTGATCAGGACCTGAGTGCACCACTGAGCAGAGGAATGATCCCTGCCACTGCTGAAGCTTGTCATTTAAATCAGGCTCCATTTGACCAAGTCAGAGCCCAGGAGTGCTGGTATTCACAATTCCATATAAAATTAACTAATTAATTAGAGTAATCCTTAATGATGCACATTCATCTCCCTTTAAAAACCACAGCCTGAATCATATACTTATATCCCCCCCCCCCCAAATGTAGATATAAATCTTCATGGATTGAAATAACATTTCAAAAAAGAACTATCTGGTCTTATATAATCAGCTTGTCCTGATTTCCAAGAAAGCTCATGTTTTTGCTCAAGCAAGTGAAGTAATTTAATAAGTGCTTTAAAATCCTTTTCCTTATGTGGGAGGGCATCTTAAACTTACATTTTTTTTTCCTTACTTCTTAAGGCATTTTTAATGAAGCATTAATATGTGCAGAGCATTCCACCAACCCTTTTCCCATAGCTCTCTTTTACAAACAATATTTGTAATGTATACCATAGCTTGTCTTTTAAAATAGAAACAGATTGCCAAACAGGTTTTATGTCCTTTATTAGACCGGGAGATGCTGAATTTAGGACATTATTTAGTCTAATCCCTTCAAGAGTCTGTTTTGTGTATTACATAAACAGGGTTTCTTCCATCTTCTTAAACATTGATAACATAACTATAAATTACATCTTTATATATGACAACAGCTGTGATCTCTTCCGTGCTGAAGACTTGATGATACTTCTTTCACCCGTGGTGCTGTTTATTTTTCCATTATTACTTAGGCACCAGTGTTTTTACAGTGTCCTCTACAGGAGCAAGTCTACCTTTTTTTAAGACAAGATTTTTAATGTGAACCCAGTGCATCTGAATTGGGTCCTGTGCTGCCGATGGAGTTCACAGAAGCTCATTTGAGCTGGGACCTGTGAACTTTACAACATGTCATCATAAAATCTGCATCTGAAGTGTGAACAAAGCTACTGAACTTATTTATCTGCCCAGCTGAGGGACACTCATGTAGGCACCTCAGCAGATCTAGTGAAGTGTATCATTGTGTGCATCCAGCTCATCCAGCCTGAGCTGAAATCTGGCCACAAGCAGCAGCAACCGTCTTGCTTTGCCATAAGCAGCTTCTTGCACCATCCGTATTTCTGTGTGACAGTCCCAAAATCCTACCCTTAGACTCGGTAACTGTCTGCAGAGAAACAAAATTCCCATCCCAAATATACTTGTGAAATCACATCTACTTTATGACCATTGGTGCTCTCAGTTACCTCTCCAAGCCCATTTCTCCCTTGCATGTGGAAGCAACCTCACCATTAGTCTCTGGGATCCAAACATCGTTTCTTGCTGGATTCATAATTTCTGCCATTTTACTACCTGGACCTTTCCTGACCAGCAGTGCTGTTCCTAATAGGATGCTGTTTCCTGGCCTGTCTCCGTTGTGTCATTACCATGGGCAGCAATGCAGAGGAGAGTTTCATGAGGTGGTCAGAGCTTGACCATACTTACGATCCATTCCACACTCACCAGGTAGGGTGTGGAGCTGCCAGCCTTTAGCAGCTGCAGCAGCTTATTTTTCTCACTCAGTGTGAGGTCCCTTTGGCTGCTTGCTTTCACCACTGCTCCGCTGCCTTGATGGGTGCATGAAGCAGGTTGGCTTTTCAGGCCAGCTCTGCTCTGCAGTAGCCCTTGTTCTCTGTTCAGTGGTAGGTGTTTCTCCATGACTTGTTCATTCTTCACTGCCCTGCAGAGAAGGACTTGGGGGTGCTGGTCGATGAGAAAATGAACATGAGCCGGCTTTAGTGTGCGCTCACAGCCCAGAAAGCCAACCGTATCCTGGGCTGCATCAAAAGGAGCGTGACCAGCAGGTCAAAGGAGGTGATCCTGCCCCTCTACTCTGCTCTCGTGAGACCTCACCTGGAGTATTGTGTGCAGTTCTGGTGTCCTCAACATAAAAAGGACATGGAACTGTTGGAACAAGTCCAGAGGAGGGCCACGAGGATGATCAGGGGACTGGAGCACCTCCCGTGTGAAGACAGGCTGAGGAAGTTGGGGCTGTTCAGCCTGGAGAAGAGAAGGCTGCGTGGAGACCTCATAGCAGCCTTCCCGTATCTGAAGGGGGCCTATAGGGGTGCTGGAGAGGGACTCTTCATTAGAGACTGTAATGACAGGACAAGGGGTAATGGGTTAAAACTTAAACAGGGGAAGTTTAGATTGGATGTAAGGAGGAAGTTCTTTACTGTGAGAGTGGGAAGGCACTGGAATGGGTTGCCCAGGGAAGCTGTGAATGCTCCATCCCTGGCAGTGTTCAAGGCCAGGTTGGACAGAGCCTTGGTTGGCATGTTTTAGTGTGAGGTGTCCCTGCCCATGGCAGGGGGGTCGGACCTGGATGATGTTAAGGTCCTTTCCAACCCTAACTGTTCTATGATTCTCATGGCACTGCAGTCCCCATCAGTTCCCACGGGGTTACAGTGAAATCTCCACCAGTGGCAGCTGTGGCATTTGCAAAATAACCTTTGCAAGCTGAAGGTTGACAAGTCAAGTGACCCTGACATAAATGTTGCATCAGGTGAGAAGCTGGTGCTCCCCACACCTTTGTCACGGCAAAACTCTTCCTGTCTGAGAAGAATCAAGCTTTTGTTCTAGAATTTCAGGTAAAGTTACTAATTATAAATTGCATTTTGAAATTCAGCTTTAGAGCACTGAAATACTTTTACAGGACATGGGAAAACAGTGAATGCATTGTCTTGAGAAAGCTTTTATTTTTGTTTAGTGTAAAGCTGTACAATGTCTTTTAGCAAAATGCCTGAGAATTCACCTAGTAGTATTGATACAGTAATGATTGGCTGTCTTTTGAAGTTTGTCTCTTTGAAACAACACAAGCAAAGCCACAGTAAAAGAGCAAGCACAGCAAAAGAGAGCTGGCAAGGATCTCTTCTTGCTTGGCAACAGCTTCTGTTGGCTGTTGGTCTGTGCAGGGAAGGAGAAGGAACCCTAACCCTCAGAGCAGTTCTGAGGCCACCAGACAATGCTAAGTTCCTTTTAGCTGCTTTTTTAAGAGGGCAGTGGCTGCCACTGGTGGAGTTGGTTTTGCCACTTAAATCAGGTTCTTCTGAGGCAAGAGAGAAAGAAAAAAGATAAAAGCTGCTGGAAGGTCTGACAGAGGGACTCTAATGCTGGTGTTCGGCACTTAGCATAGCCTAAATCTCATTCCCTCTTGTTTGATCGGATGGGAATAACAGTCTGGCTAAGGATTATCAAGGGCTGATGCTGAGTGGTTCTGGGTGCTGCTTTTAGGGTAAAGCTTCTGCCTTTCATCTGAAGGGATCTGGTTATCTCTGTCATCTCTTTCAAGGGGTTTTTCAAAGCAGAAAGGGATGGCAGTGTTACCATCTGGATAGTGATGCCAACCCACAACTTCACCAGGAGGTGTCAGCGCTTTCTAAGTTAAGCAGGTCAATGTGGAGTTCTTTCTATATTCAGCTTTTGGTGACTTTTAAAAACTATTTGGGCCCAAGAAACTTTGGGGAGTGTATAGAGGAAAAGACAGGGACACTGGTGAGAGGAAGGGGAGAGATTCAGCAAGATGAACAACAGCTACAGTAAAACTGTTACACGAGTTTCTTGACTGTCTTTTTAATAGTAACTAACATCTAACATGCTTAAGATTACTGCTGCCCACAGCACTTGAGTGCTGCCCTGAGTGGAAATGTGAGACTCTTCCAAAGGGTCTCTCTTCATCTTGATGGGATCCTTGAGCTGTCTCTGCCTGCATCTCCCACTACTACTCCGTCTGCCTGTCACATGCTTGCCCCTCATTGCCAGTTGATCTAAAAAGCACACTTACCTGCTCTCTCTTTCCCCCAGTCTCTTCTCTTTAAATCTTGGGGTTTAAAACTGACCTGCAGATGTGCCTCTCTGCAGTCCGTCATGTGGACAGCCTTTGCTGGGAGTGAGGTGAGCTGCACCCGAAGCACTCTGTGGCTGCAGCAAGCAGGCTTTTAGATGTTGCATTTTTCCCCATAGAGCCTGTGCTGCTCCCCAGAGACCATTGGGAAGAGCACACTGAAGGTTTTCAGGGAGCTGACCACGTGCAGATGTTCTTTGCCTTTCTGACTGTAATGGGGGAATAACTTTTTTCTTGCTGTTGATGTTTCTTCAGAGTGTTGGTACCTGGTGTGCATCCCTCAGCAGCAGTAACTCACTAGGAAGTTGTTACCAAAATTGAACTGTCAACTGCATCCAGGCCAACATGAGAGACTTTCTGTGCTCAGTCACAATAGTCTTCTGAAGCCTCTCAACTCTCCAGTAATCCAATCCATCCTCCCTTTGCATCACCTCCATCAGACCACGTGCCCTGGGCTTCAGCCAAAAGGGAGTCTGGGGGGGAGGAGCTGTGCTGGACATTGCCTGCCTGTGCTGTTTCGTTCCCATCCTGTGCTCAGAAGCTGCTGCAGGTTCCTTCCTTGCAGAGTTGCCCACTTCATGCTCTCCCTGTCGAACTCCATTAGCAGTAGGCCAGGGACTCTGACTGCAGGCATGTTTGTGTGTGTATGCATGCGTGTACCACGTGCGAACACCCAGCTCCTCCTGTTGCACTGAGGAAGTTCAGAGCCCTCACTGGTTTAGCAGTAGCCTTACTCGCAGGCAAGAGGATGATACAAGAAAAAATCAATTAAATTGGAAGCCAAGTACTGGCAAAACTGACCTGACCTACTTAATAAAGTTGGAATCTGAACAGCTCAGCATTTACAAAGTCTTTGTTTTGCAGATATGCTCATTCAACAATACTATTTCCTAGACTCGTTGGCTGAAAGGTGGCCCCATGTTGTACAGCAAGTTAAATTAGATACACGTACGCAATCAAAGCTCCCCTTTAGCTTTGACATGCCTGTATTTGTGTGACTCACACAAGACTACTGTGTGCAACGCCCTATGACAACGTATAGGAAAAACACTGCAATGCCTTACAAACGTACATGCACTCAGTCTGTGGGTTAGTGCAGCGTTTCCCAAAGGACCGCAGCAGTTCCAGAGACTTGGACTGCAAATCACTGAGGGCATCTCCGTTGGTCACCACTGCCCGTTTTCATTCTGCATGTTGCACTCGCAGCAGCTGGTGTCTATCCTTTCCATTTCTAAAGGTTACCAGTACAGCAATGTGCCCGAGTCTGTGCGTCAGAGCTGTCATTTCAAGCCATCTGCAACATGCTGCCGCTGTTTATTTAAATGTTAACTTGTTCGCTCCTCAAAACATGCAAGGAAGGAGAAAAACAATCATGGAACAATTATGTAGAGCTTTGTAAGGCCTTTCATGGCCACTTCCTTCTGCAGAGACATGCAGGGTCATCTGAGGCAAGTTCTGTAGCAGGGAAGAAGTTAACTGATTTCAGTTGCAGGTCCTTAACTTGCATAATCTGCACGCTGTCAATTGCTTTTTCTTTTATTTTAGTGGTGCCCTGGAGGCTTACGTTCAGTCAGTGCGAATGAGAGAGGGAAAGGAGTTTGCACCGGTCTATCCCATAATGGTTCAGCTGCTGCAGAAAGCGATGTCGACCCTTCAGTGAGCCAATCTGTGCAACTCTCTCAAATCTTGGCACAGTACTGCAGTCATGGGTCTTCGGTGCCATGCAGATACTTGCATTCCCAACTACGTAAGCTTTACAAGGAAATGTGTTTACCTACTTTATCTGTGAAACTTCTGTCTTCTTGCTTTACATTTGCATTACAGGAACTTATTTATACACAAATGTCATAAGGAAATTGTACAGTTTTTATGTGCTGTAAGTCTACATCTAATGAAAACAATTCAGCATTCCTTCTGAATTCAGAAAAACTAGAACATGCGCTCAAACACTGCAGTGGAATTCATGAGTATCTCAAGTAAGGAAGTAGGTAGCTCTTGTAAGTATGAACAGTTGGATACATTTTAGCCTTATTCAGTACTTCTGAATGCCAGAATCATCAGCTTCCATCTAAAAATCACTAATTTTAACACAAAAATATTTGTAAGTAACAGACTCTCTAGTGCACTGCTCTTTGCTTGCAAGTAATTTATATAGATTTCAACTTTCTTTGGGCTTAAACTGTAATAAAGAACGTTAACTCCAACCTTGAGTGCAGTATTTGAAATCCTTCAACAGCTTCCTCAGTGCACAGCATCACATGCGCTTTGGACGGGTTCATGTACAGAATTCCATGCACAAGGTGCTCATCCCGCAGGGTGGACTTCACGATTAGTCCACTCCATTTCATATAATACACACCACCAGATTTTAATGGATTTATTTGAAATAATATACAAGAATATAGTGTGCAAAAATCTGAGGGGCAACATCACATAGACGTGTCATAAACTGAAATTTACAGTTGTGATTCTTAAACAAAAAAAAGGAACACACAGCTGTTTAGCAGACAAAAAGCCATGATTGTAAAAGTTCACAGCAGAAGCAGTTGGAATCCTAATGCAGCTGCTCTAATTGTAGACAGTTGGAGGAAAAAATAGTAAAGTGCAAGTGTTGCACGTATAGTTAAGTGCAAAGTTTGCCCCCACCGTAAAGATGTCTTATGGCAAAATAAAGTATTGTAGAGTATGTGGCAAAGACAAAACACAGAGTTAAAAACTATGATGGTGATGGTATCAACAGCACCATTTTTCTGGAGATAACGCTATTTGTTTCATCCTGTCCCGGGCCACGGTTGCCACCGGCAACAACAGCTCTGACTAGTGCCAGCTTGTGCAGGATCTCTCGCCCCCTTGTGGGGACACATTTCCTCCGGGGCAATGCGGGCAGCGGCTCCGCGCTCCTTACGCTGTGCTCGCCACACTGCGGTGCGGTGCTGGCGCCTGGCTGGGCTGGGACACTACCCCACAACGCACCTTGCCATCTCAGAAAAGCCCAGGCCCCAGACTCGTAATTAATAATATGGTTGTGCAATACATATTAATCAGCAATAAGAATCAATGTATATAAACAGCTGTTACATATTTTAAAATTCCCCTTTTTGTACATTTTCTTTTAAAAATAAACATTTATACACATCTCCCTCGCCTCTTTCTAAAGTACTTTAGCACCACAGGATATCCATTTTCAAGCCTATATTACCTGATACATATATGAAGTTTGGAAGAAAAATAAGGCAATTTGGTTTAAAATGTTGATAGTTTTAGCTTACTTAATGTTCTATTGTAAAAAGCAAATCTGCACTCATACTAGATCATTTCCAACTTGATGGTGCCAGTATTTTATGGCCACGCAGAGTCACAACAAATAGTAAGACCTTGATCGTGCATCTTCTTGCCATCAAGCAACAGCCATTTTGTAAATACAGAGTTAACAGGAAAATTCTGGCTTAATGCTGTTGTGAGCCCTGAGAAAAGAGAAAACCAGGTTAGCTCTCATCAAGCGAAGGGGAAGGAGACATTATCTTAAATCTAGCAAACCTTTGTTTTGAAAGCCACAAGTACTTGTAATCATTGGTCCAGCTACTCTGAAGAAAACAGAAAGCCCAAACAGATTATTTTATCCCCTCATCATCAAAAGACCACCAAGACTTCTTTGTGGCAGCCCAGACTCCACCATCCCCACCATCATTACTTGACAAGGTAACCACTGCTAACAAAATTCTTAGTTCATTAAAATAAAATCATAAAAAAGGTGTTTCCTGCTGTTAACACTGCAGTAACAGGTCCTACAAATACTGTTACCTTGGTCTGAAGACAAAGGAATATCCTACTAGAAGGCAGGGTGAGAAAACCATCCTTCCCAAGGCCAACTATTCCTCTCAGCTACACCCAAACACCCCCACCGACTTCCCTGAAGCTGACAAGTGCATGTGTGAAATTGACCTCACCACCCAATGTCCAAGACTGCAGTAGTGTAAAAGCAGAATAAATACACAGTATTATTTTAACTAAACCCGCAAGGAGATCTAACAGAAGCTGTGACTGTTGATTAAAATAGAATCCAGTGAACAGAAAAACAGCTTGTTCCTTGCAGCTGGGGTTCGGTGAAATCTGCAACAAGGGACTGAAAACTCAGCACCAAGTATATAAGCAATAAGCAGCAACTGAGAGTTGGAGCATTTCTTAGTCTTAAGGCAATACTTGTATATGCTCTTGAGAAAGTAGCCTCAGTTACACAGAAAAGGAAAGGGGCTAACTTGAGGATGGAATCTTAAACCTGTGAAGCCCACACTATACACTAATGCTCCTACGCAGGCATAAAATGGATGATGAGAGGACCTGGCGTTCTGTGCACAGTGTGGATCTTTCCTTCCAGTTTCTCTTCTAGCTGAACATGCAGGCTGGCAGAAATCTCTTTTTTTTTTTTACTATGTTCTCTTTATATGACTTATAAGCTTGAAAGCCCTTATCTTAATAGGTTCACTGCTGCAGACTCTTAGAATGGCCTTCTGCAACGTGGAAAACAATTTATTTCCCTACAGAAGAAGTGGTATCTATTGTATTTATTTTACAATTAAAACAGAGTAGTAAATGAAAGGGATTAATGGAAAAAAATAACTTGCTCCCTCAGTAACTTCACATCATATACTGACAAATTATAAGTAAAAAATATAGAAAATGGTAAAGAAAAAGCTTTTACTGAAGAAAAATGAGACTGAATCAAAGCAGGATTTTGTAAAAGTTTAAGTGTTTCTGAGGGGACAGATGTAATTTAGGTACGATCCTGTGAACTCAGTTACTTCAAACAAAAGGTGATGTGCTCTTCCTCTGCCTTTCACAAGCACACTCACTTCCAGTCCAATAGAATTAATGGAATTAGGAAAATGTTCAGAGACCCTCGCCTGATCTGTCTCCTGAAAACTGTCCAAAAGGAGGCTACCCAACACAGAGGAGCCGAATGAAGGTTTGGGCTACCAAGAAAGGAGTAGACAGCAGGTTATCCTCAACAAAACCCACTGTCGCTACCATATGAACACATTTAAGTACACAATGAAGAAGAAAGCTTCACAAACATACAGAATTTGTTCGTTTTCGTTTCCAACAGTCAGGATTTAGACGTTTCTGCTCTTCTGCCAAGGCCTTGGCTTCTAGCGTGTACATCCGTCTTTCTTCGTTTTTCATTTTCTTCCACCTGTCACCAAGTATCACACTTATGGCTCTGCAAGACAAATGTTTACACTGTGGTCAGGACAGGGTGTTAAGAAAAACCCTAATTTTGTTTTTATCTGAGCACTTCAAAGAAGACAAAAGCTAAGTGTTGAAATCACACACATACAGAAGTCAACTGTATCTTCAAGTTTTTTTAGAACAATCCTGTTTCTGATTATCTTCTCATACTTCTTTCAACAGTTAAACAGCTGAGATTCTGTACTAGCTCAGCACGGGTCGATGCACATTCTAACATTTCAGCGGGTGTATATTTGAATACACAGCAACTGACATAAACCAGCAACACAGGGATGTTAAAAAAACCACCACCAAACGGTAACTCACATGTGTTTCGCTCTACTTTTGTACTAGAAGATCATATGACAGATTTGCTGGAAATATGTTCTCTAATAATTAGGGCAATGATCTGAATATGACCTTAGCCAAACAAATACTTGATTAACTGCAAATCCCCGTGTCTACCTAATAGATGTGTGTAGCCTCCTCCACCTTTAATCCATACTGGGCAGAACATAATGCAAGTTCCCATTCCTACGCAAAAAGATCTGTTCTAACAATGAATTGCTGAATTGCCTTCCTGCTCCTTCTAAACTTGCTGTCTTTTGGACAGTATTTCCCATTATTATCATGCTATATTGCTCAACTGCACTCCCAAATGCTGGATCATTATTCCCTTAAAACTTTAACTCCATCCTTTAGCAAAATGAAAATCTCTAAACAGCAGCTCTTTTACCAGTGTTCAACTACTGAGCAGGTGCTTTAGCTTCAGATTACAGCAATCAACCTTCTGTGATCAGCTTTAAAAAAAAAAAGAAAAAAAAAAGGTGCAAACAACTCTGCTTCATCATATTAAAAGGTTCCTTGCTGGCAGCAAAGCTATTCACAGAATTTCCAACAGAATCAAGAAGAGCAGAGTGTCAGCAACCTCTTCCATAGGCTGATGCACATACAGCATTTCTGAAGGCTTTTCTGCACTGTAACAAGAAAATGCATTTTAATCCTGCAAGACTGTGTAGTACTCTTCAGGCTTCCAGGAGCTGCAGAGCACCCAGAGAGCACAGCAGGAACTCCATCGAGGCTGCCACTCAGCCTGTGCTGTCACACGCTCTGGTGGCTCCCGAGAGCAAACTCAAGTTGCAACCAGACCCATCCACATCAAATCCATGTGCACAGCCTGTCTCTCTGGCAATGGTATTTCTGGTTTTCTATCCAAACTGAGAATCAGTATCTTGGGTCTGTCACCAGAAGTAAGCACAATTAGCAGATTTTCCATGTTTTAGCAGTATTCAGAGGCAAATCAACAGCACCAGAAACCTGTCTGGTTCTGGTCACCAGGTTATACTGGGTCACTCATACCCCCAGGAAAGAACATGGTGACCCAGAGAGAGCAGGTTTGCTGAAAAAAGCACTGCATTTCCAAATAAAATAAACTACAAGATCTTTGTATTTTAAATGTAAAAACACGTATTTTATTATCTCCAGAGGAAAAAACTGCACTGAGCACTGAAAGTGAGCACAGATCTGTACGTTTCAAAAAGGCTGAAAAATCTAATGCAGAGACAAAAGCTCCATTTTGCCAAGGAAACAGTTCTGTGAGCAAACCACAGAGACTGAAAAAACATGTGTACAGAGAAAGTTCCTGACATAGCAGAGACTTAATTCACCTGACCAGAAACAAGAAAGAAATTGTTCTACTGCTTCATTGCCTTACGTGTCCTTCACCTCACCAGAACTTCACAGCACTCTGTACTCTGTCCTCTTAAAATGCTGGTAAGGTACCTGACAACTTTTTAGCAACTGGGATACAACCTCTTACACTACAGCTAATTCGAAAGAAATTGTCAAGCAGTAGTTGAGAA